TCGCATAGGACTTAGGCGCACGACGTGCAGTGACCACTGTAAACCCGTCTTTGTCGACAGGAGCTGGGGCCTGGCGTCTCGGAGGTGCGGCAGTGGTCTGGCGCGGCTGCCCAGTGGCAGGACCGGCCTTCGCACGTTGCGTTTTGGCCTGACGAGCCGTAACCACTCCAGGGTTAACCGACCGTCTTTGGATGGGCAAGGTTGGGGTGGAACCCGCAGGTTTGGCATCAGCCGAACCACTGCCCAGGCTGGCCTGTACGAGCTCCACAATGGAGTCCAAAAGAGCCGATATAACCGGGGCTTGAGGACCCAAAGGGAGAGTACTGATCAGGGTACGCAAGAGCGCAATGATCTGGCACAACGCTGGTGCAGGATTGGCATTAGCCGCGCCTGACGCAACCTGTTGGCCGTCCGAGACACCAGAGCATAGCTTAGAGTCACCGCTTCCGTCTCGCGAAGGGTAGGGACGAGGAGGTGAAGGCTCGCGCGCAGGGGAAGGGGGAAAGAGGGGCGCAGGGGTGGAGGACGCGGGGGAGGAAGGTGCGCCGCCATATTGAAAGTCCAGCACGTCTGCCTCCAGCTGATCCATCGAGACATCCGCTTCTATAGGGCACTCGTCTGCCCAGCTATTGCCGTCCGCGCCTTCATTGGCCAGCATGTCCGACTGCATCTTGTCCCAATGACGTTCGCAGACATCCGGATATAGATCACAACGTGAATTCATATCGGAGAAACACGGGTCCCTAACTAGAGCAAAGCGCTTAGGCGAAGAGTTTCTACCTGATTTCTCTAAACTCTTCTCGTGACGGTTCGTTGACGAACCTGGTGACTGCGCCGGCTGAGCTAGCGAATTAATACCACACTTCGCCGAACTCTTGCCAGAGCGCCCAGATGGGAGGCCTGGAAGACCTGGTATGGAAGCACTGCTTCTACCTTTGTTAGTTAATCTATAGTCCTTATCGGACTGCCTCAAGGCTTTGTTGTTTGTCTTAGAGGGTAACCCCATAGAACAGAGAAAAAATACGTCCCTTCTTGAGGGCCGTCACTCGGCTCGGATGATCTCGTCATCGCAATCGCACTAAGCCACTTAAGGGACTTGCTTATAATTTACCAATGAATCTGCCTGTGAGCGCGTGTGCGAAGTTCAACGAAATTTGGGGGTGACGCGCTCCGTAAAGAATGACATTACCAATCATTATCAAATTCAATAAATCTAGCGTAACCAGGTCACCAATCACCTCATGCACGTCGTTGATGAGAAAGCGCATACTTTTACTCTCCAGTGAGACTGTCAGTTAGGTTAGTTGGTGAATAAGATTTTCATCCGTGCGGTTCTCGGTTCGAATCTACCCTAGATTAATTTAACTTTTTTAAACTCTCATGGGGCCAGGCCCATGGCTCCAGTATGGCCAGGCCCATGGCCCCGGCCCAGGGCCAGGCCCATGGCCCTGGGGCCATGACCCTGGCACTCAACAACAGTAGTATCAGGTTCTATCATGACCAACAGTAGCTGCACTGTAGTATCCACGTGTGATGCTCGACAGCAACATCTTATATCGTATAGCTCAACAGGTAATGTGACTATGCCGTCAACCGATGCACCCAGGTACGATTCGCAGATACGCTAATTTTTAAACTCAATAATCCCATTGGCCCTGACTGGCTCGACCCTCGAGTAAGCCCATGGCCTCCTGACCCCCTGGCCAATATTGCTAACGACTTACGTTAGCCTACATTAGCCAGTAGGGCCAGGCCCATGGCCCCGGTAGGGCCAGGCCCATGGCTCCAGTATGGCCAGGCCCATGGCCCCGGTAGGGCCAGGCCCATGGTCCTGGGGCCATGACCCTGGCACTCAACAACAGTAGTATCAGGTTCTATCATGACCAACAGTAGCTGCACTGTAGTATCCACGTGTGATGCTCGACAACAACATCTTATATCGTATAGCTCAACAGGTAATGTGACTATGCCGTCAACCGATGCACCCAGGTACGATTCGCAGATACGCTAATTTTTAAACTCAATAATCCCATTGGCCCTGACTGGCTCGACCCTCGAGTAAGCCCATGGCCTCCTGACCCCCTGGCCAATATTGCTAACGACTTACGTTAGCCTACATTAGCCAGTAGGGCCAGGCCCATGGCCCCGGTAGGGCCAGGCCCATGGCCCCAGTAGGGCCAGGCCCATGGCCCCAGTAGGGCCAGGCCCATGGCCCCAGTAGGGCCAGGCCCATGGCCCCAGTAGGGCCAGGCCCATGGCCCCAGTAGGGATCTGCTCAGGGAGCAAGCTCCCTGAGCAGATCCGTCCCTGAACCATCCTTATACTGAACTGAAGCTTCCGAGAGTTTTCTTTCCCACTGCTCACGTGCAAACCCCCAGAAACCATTCCAAGTAGTCGCCTCTACCGTAGATGGCTCAGGATTTGAGACTGTCGAGGCGGAGGAAGCTCCTGAACACGGTTAGATTTTTAATGGAGGTTAGAAGAACACCTACTACGAGCCGCCTTTTTCTGACGATAATTCTGTTTAGCTCTCATCTTTGCCTTCCCACTTCGCTTGTGTGGCATTTATTGTTGCTTTCTTCCGAAGCAACAAGCACGTAGAGGCCTCCCTAATTGACGCTAACACCACACAGCTCCGCATAGTTGTATAAAAAAGGGATCACTCTTTCAGAAACAAGTGTCTCCCACGTGAGTCTCACGTCGTGAGACCGTCAACACCTCGTCGTCTATCTCCATAAATAATAACGAAGTCTTTATCGACTTCACAGTCTTTTTCAAACCCTTTATCTTTGCTCCCAATCCCGGACGAACCTTTGCCCTTCCCGTCAGGACGATTCGCATGTTGATGGGGTTTGAGTGAAGGTTTCGTAAGAAAGCAAGTTCAAGCAAGTGCACGAAATGAGAAATATGTTGGTGTTCTGATGTTATCGTTCGAACTGTATGTTGTGAGACCGAGATGGTTCCACCTATGAACCAGTCTCGTCCCGTTCTTTTTTTTTCTCTTTTTCAGTTATCCGTCTCTCCTCCGCGTGTAGTCTGTTTCGTTTCTTTCTCCTTTTTGCAGTTCCATTTAATCCCTATTATTCTCCTCTACGTCGTCAAAGGGTGTTTGGCACCCGGTGTAAATGGCTTGTGAAGCCAAGCCCGAGAGGCAGACTCTTCCTGGCAACCTTAGGGGACACGTCGTTGAACGGAGACCCCGAGAATAGGTGCGAGTCCAGGCGTTAGTAATAGGTGATCCTGGATCACTGATCCATAGGGGTTACCGAGTGGGTGCCTTAGGGGTCACGCCTTAGAGCGGAGACCCTGTGGATAGGTGTCAGCCCAGAGTTTATATGGTTAGTGTCCGTTGGGATGCTATCTACAGTGAGATTCCTGGCCGAGGAATCCTGGGTGTAGACCCTCCGGGGGAATCCTTGTTGAGACCTCCTTAGTGCGGCTCCTACAAGAGCGATCTGTAAAGATAAAGGGATACAGGGGGGACCATCGTTGAGTGGTCTCCCCCGGAATGTTCCCGTGGGTGATTTCATGATGTGGTATAACATCGGTCAGGGACGACACACCATCGAGTGGGTCTCCTTGTGGGTTGGAGTGCCTGTGGCATCTTCCTCCTGACACCAGTCTCATATTCGTGATGACATCATGTGATTAGGGTCACTGAGCGATACTCAGTGGTGCGGATTGGTCTCTGGAGAGCCCTACGTTGTCCGCCGGCATCCTCAATAGGAGGATTCTTGCTGATCCATCCGAGAGTGGATCGGTTCGTGGCACAAGCTTTGTGCGACGAAGCTTGTCTGTTGACACAATGTTTGAGTATTTGGTGTCGCCACACAATTAGAATGCTAGCCTATTAAGCTTGGCTCATGGCTAATAGCTGACTCCGTTGAAGTCGTTGACAACGTGTGATCATCTTATCTCAGAGGTAGATGATGAGGTTCAACTGCGAATGGTTGCTCCTCAATGGTTTTTTTTTTTTTGATGAAGCCCCCGCGAGTCTGTTTCTGTGAATTTGTTCTGGTTGCGCTAGGTAGTGAGCTTCTTGGGGCAGGGTTTCAGGATCGATTGGTAACCTGTCAGTTTATTTTCTCGTTGTTGGGGTCGGCTATTTGATCGCCCATGACTAAAGGTTGCCGCTCCCAAGAGGCTCGCAAACGTCGAAGGCGACGCTACAAAGCCGCTCGGTATGCTCATAGTGCTATCACTACTACCGAGAAGAGTTATGTCGACACGAGGAGCGCTGATCCTCCCTCGGATAACTCGAAGTCTTTATCGGTGGACCAAGTCCCCGGGCTTCTTCCAACTGACGGCAGCTGTTGGGAAACATTGGCCGCATCAGTCTTAGCAAAAGAGCGATCTGCTACTCCGATGCAAGATGGATCAGGATTGCCCGCCACATGTCAGTGGGATTCTACTATCCATATTTCGACCCGATTCGAGGCCGTCGTTAACGAGATTGCTGATGCTCTTCAGGATAAAGCGACAGAATGGTCTAATCAACCCCAGGTTAAGGAGTTTCTATCGACCTTCGAATTCTCATCGAGAGAGTTACAATCCTCCATGGCCGTTGGATGGGTCAACCTTGGTATTGTCGAAGCGGGCAACGAGTTAGCAGTTGAATTCTGCAACATTCTAGAGAGTCACGGCTTTGGGAATACTGCTACCTTCATGGAACCGGCTTCTTCAGTTTCAAAGGTTAGGGGTAGGCTTTTGGAGGTGCTATCCCGCATCACCGCAGATGAGAGTATTCCGGAAGATAATGGAATTGGTTTTGCCATTATGAGTGGTTGTGGGGTTGGTCTTAATATTCCTATGGTTGAGAATACGGATACTTGGCCGGCTTTCAAACGCAAACCTCCTAAACCGGGTGAACCAGAGTATATACGGTGGCCAGCTGACGATCCCTGTCTACCAGCCCCGATAAAGCTAGCGAATGATGGCCTTAGCTCCCTCGCTACCGACCAAATTAGAGAAGAAGTAAGAGCCGGAAGATTCGAGATCCTGTCGGAGCGGGCTGCCCGTTCTAAGGGAATGAAGGCAGTAAGTAAAATCGGGGCGATTTATAAAGATGGTACGAAACAACGTTGTCGTCTTATTAGCAACTATCGGTGTAGTGGCATCAATAGATCTATTGAAATGTCCACGACGCTGGCATTGCCAACTTTGCAAGGCCTCAAGTACCTCGTCAAGCAAGCTGAGAGCCAAAAAGCGAGAAAACTGGGTGGATTCGATATAAAAAGTGCGTTTCGCTCGTTGTCGGTGAGAGAGGAGGAGCAAGGCCTCTTAGCTCTTGTGTGTCCGACTAGCGTTGCCAACGGCTCATTGGAGACACCCATCATTTGGGAGAACTGCCTCCCTTTCGGATTGGCATCTAGCCCTCTACAGTTTACTAGGTGTAGTGCAGCTATGCATCGGATTCAACGACGCCTCTTAGCGGTTCTGGCGAGGAGAGCCAACGGGGAAAGACCCCGGGGTATCATTTATCTGGATGACGGTACCTGGTACTTATTTTACATACTGCAGTTATGTATGCTCTTACTATTGGTCATTGCAATCGGCCTCGAAGTAGAATTCAAGAAGGTATTTTTTCTCTCCAGGGATATTCGTACTCTCGGTTTTGGGCTAGATCTTAAGCATGATTTCGGTCCGGCTCGGATCAGCATTCCAATTGAAAAGAGAGAGAAGTATAGATTACAAATCTCCGGCTTTCTTGAATCGGACATAGTAGAGACTAGAGATTTGAAGAAGTTGCTCGGGAAGCTATCTTGGTGTGCTCAATTGATTCGCCATTGGCGTCCCAAGCTCGGTGCCTTATATGCATTGACCGCTGCCGCTGACCGCCCCAAACGAGGGAAACCTCTGAGACATGTTCGCCTTTCCGCATCTGTTCGAGAATCTCTCCAGTCGATATGGGAGGCTCTGGCCGAGCCATGTTCCGTACCCCTTTTTGGTCTGAAGGAGGATGTTTGGTATTTGGTATCGGATGCTTGCACGTACGGCTTTGGAGGGTTCTTCACTGATGGCACTGACTATTATTGGTATAACATCAACTCTTGTGACGAGCCTCTGCTGTGGGAGGAAATTCTCAAGGCACATCTCCATGCCGAAGCACCCGCTTATGCCGGTTTGGAGGAGCCTGAGATCTGTTACCTGGAGCTATGTGCAGCTGTTTTGGGTTTGATAGGGATAGAGAAGACGCTCAGTGTTCGACTCAAGGACTCGCATATTTCAGTTTCGATTTTCTGCGATAACACAGCAGCGGTTTCGGCTCTTGCTTCTTGGTCCCCGAAGTCACAAGCTTTGAGAACGCCTTTGAGTTGGGTTCCTCACTGGTCTTCACGTGTACGCTCTCAACACGTGCCTGGACGTTTCAATAGCCTTGCAGACTTCATTAGTCGTCGTTCTAGATCGGAGATCATAACAACCGCTCCTGCTAAGTGGCGCCGGGTCGCTGTAACGCCTCAAGGATGACTCTGGTTCGAGCATCTCTCTGGTCAGCAGATGTTTCTGAAATTATGTGAACAGATAGTGTTGTCAATCTCTTGGTACGTCAGTGGGGCTTTTGGTTACATTTTCCTAACACTTTCTTCTCCAAAACATGCCTCGGGAACCGTCAAGGGTTCGATCGTATCTCGAAAGTTTCTACAGCCAAGCACAGGGCAAATCTGCTGAAGAGAAGGAGAAGGAAAATTGGAGTTTCTTCGAGTGGAAACTGGATGAAGTTACGATGCACAGTCTACGTCGCTCGGGTGCGTCAAGTCTATCCGACCACGGGATGAGCTCTCAGTGAGAGCCTCTCACCAAATCAAAGCTGGGGGTAATTGGCGTTCATCGGCCTTCGAGAGCTACGTGGATGAATCCGTGAAGAAGAAGTGTCGGAGCCATGGTGAGCAAATTTTGGACGCTGCATGACTCTTGGACGCTTGGTGTGTTTCTTAGACTTTGTGGTAGTGCTTTCTCAAATGATCTCCCGTTGAGTTCAGTTTCGAACGATAACCCAGCTGTCGGAGCTTGGGGAGTAACTTCCTGCATCCCATAACTGTAATGTTAACTTGGTGTGAGGGACTCTCATTGATGAGGATGTTACGTCGGAGAATGTCCCTAGTGGAAGGAGTCTTCTGAAGGTTCTGTGGAACCATCGGACATGTCTCCTCCCTCCGACAGTGAGGATCTCGTTTCAAGTAGGTGACTCATCGTTGTCTGTGTGTTCGAGTTTGGGGGACACTAACATATGTCACGAAACATGGGCCATATTCCGTGATATAGTTAGTGTGACCAAACATGATCTGTGAACCTAGGGCCCAAGGTAAGTCCCAGAGAGGGTTCGGGCTTCGGGTTCACAGTGTTTGGTCCTCTCCCACACTCCCAACCAACTGTCCGGTGGACGGACAGATGTCACTCGAATCGAGAAAACGAGTCTTGAGTGAAGGTTTCGTAAGAAAGCAAGTTCAAGCAAGTGCACGAAATGAGAAATATGTTGGTGTTCTGATGTTATCGTTCGAACTGTATGTTGTGAGACCGAGATGGTTCCACCTATGAACCAGTCTCGTCCCGTTCTTTTTTTTTTTTAAGTCTTGTCCCCAGTTGGTTGGGGGACACTAACATATGTCACGAAACATGGGCCATATTCGGTGATATAGTTAGTGTGACCAAACATGATCTGTGAACCTAGGGCCC